ACCTATCTGAGACTGCACCTCCCCTGCATCCCTTGTACCCACCTGTGTCTGCACCCCCCCGCATCCCTTGTACCCACCTGTGTCTGCACCCCCCTGCATCCCTTGTACCCACCTGTGCCTGCACCCTCCTCTTCAGCTCTTCTTCTTGCTCCTGTCTCCACATTTCCTTGTTCAGTTTCTCCTGGGATTTGCTGGTTAATTCTTTCTGCTGATTGTCAAGTGCCTCATCTTTCTCTTGGTCACACTCAGATCTGACCTGTTTAATATATGTAAGTGATGAGATCACAAAACACAATGTTTTATCAATGCATTAAGGTTTGATAAAAGCTTCCATTTTGATATAATCAATACATTTATAATAGTCATTACATATTGTTTTTCCTAAAAGACTATATATACTTTGATTAGTTTGATTAAATACCTTGCTGATCTCCTCTTCTAGTTTAGTCTCCCAGTCCTGGCGTAATTTCTCCTCCAAAGTTTCCTTCTCTTCACAAATGTTGACATAAAGTTCTTTCACTTCATCCAACTCTTTCTGACACTGTACAAGCTCAGCCCTGGGGTGTGATTTCAGTGATTAATGATATATCTATACATAATTTAAATACAACAGAATAATTTATAGAGATGCATATGTAAGCTGCAAACTCCATTTTTAAGTGTGATTAATGAAAATGTTAATTTAATAACTTTAAAGCAAATTTGTGTAAGCATACATGTATAAGTGTGAGATGAAGAAAAATAAGTGACAGAAAGAAGAGAAGAGCCACTTACTTCAGCTGTTTGATTTCACTGTCATGTTGCTCTAATAGTTTGGTTCTGTCCTCATTCTGCTGACACATTAATTCCTCTCGCAACTTGGCCTTGGCAACCTCATGATGCTGCAAGCAGGCTTCCTGACACCTGAAATGCAAGGATGACATGATTAAATAGAAGAAATTGCAAAATACAGCAAACATTTCCGACTTATAAAACAATACACATTGCCAAAATGCATTTGCTTCAAAAGTAGAGCCCTAGCATTTTTAAAAGCAAATTATACTTCAACATACACATTGCCCAGAAAATATTTTACATGCCCATACCTCTATATGCAACAGTACTTCAATTATTAATATAACAGGACTAAATCAGCGAGTTCAGTTTCAAATAACGATCACATATACAGCCATGAGTTTTACAACTCCATGCCACGACTTCAAGACTACAAATATCATTTCAACATTAGTCTTACTTACTTGGTAGAAATAAAGACCTAAGTACTGGTATTCAATGTAGCGCGTTTCTTATCAGCAAAAAGCGTAAATAGAAGGGCAAAGGGTACTAACAATGTCTAATTAGCATATGAAGTAGTCCGAGGTGGAGTGAATACACTATTAACACCTCATGAATGTAAATCCCAGCGCAGGTGAATGAACCGCCTTTTGTTGAAATAAGTAGCAATGTAAACAATACAACTGTAGCAATTGGGACCAATGAAAGGCTGTTATTACTGCATCAATGGCTCTTTAACAGGTGAATACCACTTGCTGGGAGATTTTTTCTTTTTAGAAATTCTTTCTTGCATTTAGTTTTCAAGTTTTATTTGTTCTTCCATGGTAAATATTTTTAAAACAAATTTTTAAAAGGTTTGTGATTTCATTTCAATTTTGTTTCTTTCTTTACTTTTCTACGCTAAGACCTGAGTTTTACTCTAACACTTGTGAAATGATCTAATCATCTTTTGCAAGGAAATAGTAACAATTATTTCAAGTTATTCAGTGTTTAAAAAAAGACAGCATTAACATTATCATAACAAGATTGCTTAAAATATAATACAATATTATGTTGTTTTTTTTAATGTTTAAAGCAATAATTTCTTAATTAAGCAGAATACTAGAAAATTATACAGAAAAAATAAGCCCAAAAGAGGAAATAAAATTATTAGAAATTATTTACTTCTCTAAAGCTGTCTTCTTATCTTCATCAAATTCCTGTACCATCAGCGCCATCTGGTGGTTTAATTCAGAGTTAATCTCTCCCAGACGTTCTTCATTGGAAGCAACTTCTTCAAGCCTGTGTTTTGTTTCCTGAAAGACAAGAAAACCACTGGTCTTCAAAAGTGTAGAAGGTGTCCCAAACTCATTACCAATGACCTGTGCTTAAACTTATCTCTACTGTTTCTCAAAATATTTGTAACAAATTCTTTAAAATTAAAGAATATTCAATAATGTGGAATACTGTTGTAGTAAAAAAAAAAAGTACAAAACACCACTGAAAATAAGCAGATAGCAGATAAATTAATTGAAAACAAAATGTTTCACAAGGTAAAGTATATGATGGTCTGTGTCTGTGGTCTCCATCTCTGGCTATCTTACCTCTAACTCTTGCTCCTTGTCCTCCAGTTCCCTCTGATATCTCTCCACCTCCCTTCGCAGTCTCTTCTCTACACCTGAAATACCACTGGGGTCCAACTTCAACTCTGCTAGTTCACTCTCTAACTCATGGATGCGATTCTAAAACAATAAATAATAATAATAATAATAATAATAATAATAATAATAATAATAATAAAAGAAAGAAATGTGGAAAAGAATGAGGCCAAAACATAGTTAAAATCTTCTTCGCAATTACTTTATTCCTCCGTTTCAGAAACCTACCGTAAGCAAGTTTATGATGAACATTTCATAATCATCATCATCATCATGCGCCAGGCCTGGTGCAGGCATCGACAATCATTAGCTCGTAATTGTACAGTTGTTGATTTGTTGCGAAGGCATTAAGGCTATCAGTGTACGATGTTCTTTGTCTACCTCTACTTTGTCTTCCTTCGATTTTCCATGCATTCAGTTTTTTATTATTATTATTTTTTTGTATTCAGTTCCAGTTCCCATTTTTCGCTTTCCATTGATAGTGTATTGAGGATCCTTTGGAGTTGTTTCTCAGAGTCTGCAATGAGCACTGTATCATCTGCATACCTTAGATTGTTCTTGGCCTCCTTTTCACCAAAATGGTTAGCCAGCGGCTGCAGCAGATAACTACTCTACAGTTAGACTACAGCACCATGAAACCCTGTGCACTAACACCACACCACCATTTCATAATATGTAAGATTATTAAAGTTTTCAATAAAAGAATCTTGGTTCCTTTAACGAAGAAGCAAATAACACATTTTATAATACCTGCAGTGTATGTGAAATCTTCAGACAATTTTCAACAAAGTTTTGTCAAAAGCTCATTCATAACATCCGAAATTTGAGCAAAAAAGAAACACACACAATAGATTTGATTAAAAGCTAAAGAAAAAAATCTGCGACTGTTTTGCGGCATTTCCGTTTGCGATGTCATTCAATATTGCTGCATCAATTGATCACATCGGAGTTTTATCTGAACATTCGAATGGACACTATTCAGACATTCTTGCTGTCTGTCTGGTCGCAACACTTGTCTGCTGTAGTTAACCTTATGACTGCAGAAACGCCACGATAAACATACAGAATTCCAAGCATTGGAAATGGGCAATGGTTTGTGGAGAATTACGGTGAGCAGAAACAGTCACTCCACATGAGGCAAATAATTAATTCATTTTTTCAGTATAAGGTTACATGTGTACAGAGACCTCATATCGATATTTTGAACTATAATTATATTTACAGGAACACATAACACATACAAACCATGAAGGCGAGCATGTCAAATTAACTTTATCTAAATGTTGGATTGCGAGGCACATTTGCCATCCTATATCCTGAACATGGATAAAAGTGGTAATAAAAGTAAAAAATAAGATTTAAGATCATGCAACATAACCACAAGGATATTTAAGTGATCTTTTTTTTATTTTTGTAAGAGGCTTTAACCATCTCTTGTTTTACGGTCCCTCACTTGTTTATCCCCATCTATATATCAATTTTTTCATTCCAACCCTGCAAAATTTGCCTCTTATAAATATCGTTAAATACATTATTTTTTATTGTACTAAATTCTTTTAAAACTATTGGGAATGAAACTAAATCACTAAATGACAATCAAATCAGTATCAAGAATGACCTACAGAAATGTTCTCATTTTCTCTCTACATTCAACCCATGTGAATACGTTTACAACAAACTTGCTCTCCGATTTTCTTTTCCGAGGTTATGAATCATGTCACCATTTCATCAAATGAACCCTTGTGGGTGCCAATTTCTGTGGGAAACCAAAATCTGTTTTTTTCCCCTTTTTTGATAATGAGGTATGACTAGCCCTATCATCAAGTAACGCCAATCAATTATTCGCTTGCAATCAGTGTCACTTCTTCAAAGCAAACGGCGGGATATTAATCATGTAAGCAATATTAAAAGCGAAGATGGAATGGCGAAGCAACAAAAAGGCTCTCAAGGGGGTCAGATTTTAAAGGGATTGCTTTGATATGTACTCGAAAATTTTAAGATTTTCACTGAGCAATTCACAGGATTTTCCGAGAGGAACAATACAATCATTTATTACCTGCGAGTTTTGAAAGGCTTGAATAGAGACCATTCACGCCATGCGCATGTAGTTTGATAAAACAAGCGAGCAGCACTTTCAACTTGATCATAGATGTAAACTCAAAAAATTATCGTGTAAAATGCTTGAATTCATATTTATGCACACCAAGGAATAGACCGCGTGGAATTTTTTT